CAGTCGTGGGGCTTGAACTCTGGGCCTGAGCACTGTCCCTCAGCTCTTCAGCTTAAGGCTATCACTCTACCACTTGAGCTACAGCGCTACTTCCGGCTTTTTTCTTTTTGCTTATGTGGTGCTGAGGAATCGAACCCAGGGCCTCAGGCATGCAAGGCAAGCGCTCTACCACTGAGCCACCTTCCCAGCCCCAATTTTTGTTTTTGTTTTTGTTTTTTTGTTTTTTGTTTTGTTTTGTTTTGTTTTTTTTGGGTTCAGTCGTGGGCCTGAATTCTGGGCCTGGGAGCTGTCCCTCAGCTCTTCAGCTCAAGGCTAGCATTCTACCACTTGAGCCAGTGCCCAGTTTTTGAATTCAAGCCCCAGGATTGGATACCCCTCCTCCCCAAGAAGAAAAGGTTCTTTAAAAATCCTCAGCCAGGTGCCAGTAGTATATACTCGTAATTCTAACTACTCAAGACTCTGAGACTCAGAGAACTGAGGTTTCAAGCCAGCATAAGACGAAAAAAGAGGGCTGGGAAGGTGGCTCAACAGTGGTAGAGCGCTTGCCTTGCATGCTTGAGGCCCTGGGTTTGATTCCTCAGCACCACATAAGCAAAAAGAAAAAAGCTGGAAGTGGCGCTGTGGCTCAAGTGGTAGAGCGCTAGCCTTGAGCTGAAGAGCTGAGGGACAGTGCCCAGGCCCAGAGTTCAACCCCCACGACCGACCCAAAAATTTTTTTTTCTTTTTTTTTGGGGGGGTCCGGTTGTGGGGCCTGAACTCTGGGCATGGGTGCTTTTTCTTTGGGGGGGGGGGTCCAGTCCTGGGGCCTGAACTCTGGGCCTGGGCGCTGTCCCTGTGATCTTCTGCTCAAGGCACATGCTCTACCACTTGAGCCACAGGACCACTTCTGGTTTTCTAGTGGTTTATTGGAGATAAGAGTCTCACGGACTTTCCTGACCAGGCTGGCTTTGAACCGCAATCCTCAAATCTCAGCCTCCTGTGTAGCTAGGATTACAGGCATGAGCCACCGGTGCCTGGCTAGAAGAAAAATGTTTAAGACTACATTTCCAAAATAATCATCAAAAAAACAGGGGGCTGGGGGTTGGAGGTGTGGCTCAGATGGTAGAGTGCTAGCCAATGAGCAAAAACAGCAGGTACCAAGTTTGAGTCCTGGTCTCAAATCTAAAAAAAAGAAACAAAAGAAATAACAATGACAGTGGGTGGGAAGGTGGCTCAGTGGTAGAGCACTTGCCTTGCATGCCTGAGGCCCTGGGTTCGATTCCTCAGCACCACATAAGCAAAAAGAAAACAAAGCCAGAAGTGGCGCTGTGGCTCAAGTGGTAGAGCGCTAGCCTTGAGCTGAAGAGCTGAGGGACAGCGCCCAGGCCCAGAGTTCAGGCCCCATGACCGGACCACCCCCCCCCCCAAAAAAAAAAAAAAAAAAAAAACAATGACACCACCACCACCATTACACACACACACACACACACACACACACACACACACAGGGCCAGCCAGGTGCCAGGGCTTACGCCTATAATCCTAGCTACTCAGAAGTCTGAGACCTAGCCAGCCCTAGTAGGAAAGTCCCCATGAGACTCTTATCTCCAATTAACTACCAAAAACTCAGAAGTGGAGTTGTGGCTCAAGCACTAGAGGGCTAGCCTTGAGGAAAAAAAGCACACAGTATTGTGCCCAGGTCTTGAGTTCAAGCTCCAGGGCACACAGACACAGACACACACACACACAAGCAGTATTGGAGATGTGGGCCGGCTAACCAAACTAGTGGCCCACAGTTCAAACCCAAGAAACCAGCAGGAAAGGGGATTACATGTATTTGCCTTTTTCTCTTGGTACTGCTGCGGATACAGTGAATCGCTGTGGATTTATTCTTTAATAAACATCAAAGGCCCTGTACATGTAGAAAGTATTTATGGGGGAGAAGAGCTGGCTGGATGTTGCCACCACCCTGGGGGAAGAAACATCTTCCTGGTTCACAGCACAGTGTGTGACACAGCCAGCCTGAGGACAGCAGTGGTGTGTGTTGGGAAATGAGTTCTACTTCTCACTGGCAGCTTAAACATTTCTTCCAATGGGACACTCTCCTCCTCTCCCACTCTTCCTCCAAATGGTTTGTAATACTGCTCAGATCTTCATTCCAGAATACAAATATACCTTCCATAATAATCTAAACACAATCTAGATTCAAACTGATGAGAAATTTCACAAAATAGTGAATAAATGAACGTGAATGAATAAACTTGAGCTATGGGCAGTAAGACTTCAATGTGCTCTATATTCAGCTTTTCAGTACTACTTAGTCATTTCATCTCTCCTTTTTGTGTCTAGAAATGAATGTGACAGAGCTCTGGCTGATCAGTGAACTCTGTGATGCCTAAATGAAGAAAGGAAGAAAGGAAAGAAGGAAGAAGGAACAAAGGAAGAACTAGATCATAGCTCAAGTGGTAGAGTATCAACCCAGCGAGCCCAACACCAAAGCCACAGACACAGACATAGATACTATGAGCCACCTTAGGACTGACAACAAGAAGGCCATCACCAGATGTGAGTTGATATCATTGAATCTCCCAAACTATAACTTCCTTCCTTTCATTCTACCATCCCTTCCTTCCTTCTTTCCTTCCTTCCTTCCTTGTGCTGATTCTTGGGCTTGAACTCAGGGCCTAGGCACTTCCCTGAGTTCCCTTGCTCCACTACTTAAGCCACAGCTTCACTTCGGTATTTTTGTGGTTAACTGGAGGTAAGAGTCTCATGGACATTTCCTGCTTCAGCTGGCTTCAAACTTGATGGTCAGATCTTAACCTCCTGCATAGCTAGGATTATAGGTGTGAGCCACTGACATCCAGCGCCTCTGTTGTGTGTGTGTGTGTGTGTGTGTGTGTGTGTGTGTGTGTTTGTGTATGTTTTAGTTTGTTTTTTAGTTATTTGTGCTTGGCCTTGGACCTGATCCTCTCATTTATACTAAGTATTTGGAACCACAGACATGCATTACCATGCTGTTATTTTGTTGAGATAGAGTCTTGTTAACTTTTTGTCATGACTAGTTTTGATCTGGGATCCTTCTAATCTCTATCTCCCAAGTAATTATAATTATAGACATGAGTCTCTGTGCCTGGGTCTATATCTTATTAGTACTACTACCACTACTACTACTACATTTTGCCAGTTGTGGGGCTTGAACTCAGCGCCTGGCAACTGTCCCTGAACTCTTTCTCTCAAGGCTAGCACTCTACCACTTTGAGCCACAGCACTACTTCTGGTTTTCTGGTGGTTAATTGGAGAAAAGTCTCACAAACTTTCCTGCCTGAGCTGGCTTTGAACCACGATTCTTAGATGTCAGCCTTCTGAGTAGCTAGGATTACAGGCATGAGCCACCGGTGCTGGGTTCTACTGTTGTCTTTAAATAGTCATGCAAAGGAATTTCAGTAAGTCAGATTATGAGTACAATGCATTTTAGTCAGTGCCACCTGAAGTCATGCAATCTGCACTTATCTTTGGTGGGTTGCCTGGTATCTTTATGCACCTGGGAAAACAGGGTGGGGGACAATCCTTTGTATTCCACCTTTGGATACACAGGAAGAATGGTCCTGGGGGAAGAGGCAAGTCCTTCATATAGGGTCTTTGGATACATAAAAAGAATGTGCCTAGAGGGAAACAACATAGAATTATGAGAACAAAGCAGGTTTCCATCACCACCCTTTTCATCATTCTCCCTTATCTTTCCCAATCTTTTGCTTTGTATAAAGCAAGGATTCTGGGGGTTCTCCCCTAATAGCTTTTCTAAACCCAATCCTTTCCAAAGGTCCAACTCCCACGCTCCATAATCAAATTCAGTTTCCATGTTTATAAAATTAACATATAACTTTGAGAAATGCACTTCTGTATGAGTGGGGCTGAATGGACCATAACAAGTGGGCTACTTGTAAGTTTTCATTGGCTCAAGGGCAGGAAAGGAGACCTGATATCAACCCGGACAGGGTTGATACAGGCCTAAGCCCCCAGCACTTGACCAAAATGTTCATTTTTCCCCCCCAGTCCTGAGGCTTGACATCAGGGCCTGGGCACTGTCCTGAGCTTCCCTGTGCTCAAGGGTATCACACTGCCACTTGAGCCACAGTGCCACTTTTGGCTTTTCGTTGTTGTTGTTGTTATGTGGTACTAAGGAATCAAACCCTTTTCTAGCTTTTATGCATGCTAGAAAAGCACTCTACCACTAAGCCACATTCCCAGCTCCCAAAACGATCATTTTTGTGTAAAGGTTGTGAAGTCTAAAGTTTTAATCACATTTTATTTCAAGAAGTTACATTCTGACTGCGTGTGCAGAATAAGAGGGTTTGGTATTACTAGAGACAATAAAGATATCTCCTAAGAATAGCAAGAAGTCAGATGTGGTGGTACCCGTCTGTAATCCTAGCCTTCAGGATGCAGGAGAGGAGCACTAGTTGCAGGCTAGGCTGATACAGGAAGAAGGCTCTGTCTTACTAAAATAGAATGAATGAATGAATGAATGAATGAATGGAGAATGGGTACACAAAGAAAGAAGGTCGGGAGACAAGCGTGGGTCAGGAGTTAGAAGTCGGAGGGGACCGTGTGGATAGGCAACTTTGGGGGTGATCCGCCTCAAACGGTGGCAGATGTTGGCGGGAAGACGAAGGACGTCTACACCCAGCCCCTGGGTTTGATCAGCGAGACGAAAGAGACCCAGGTGGCCGGTGGCGGCCGCCGCCGTTCTCCGGAGGGCCAGGCCCAGGGCGAGCTCGGCCCGCGCAGGGTCTCGGGCGACTCGATGACTCGAGTCTCGCTCTTTGGGGCTGCCTGGCCTCGGCGGGCGGGGCGGCCGGTATTAGCCGTGACGTCACTCTGAAACCTGGGGTGGGGGGCGGGAGAAATAGCGCCGGACTCCTCCCGGGCCAACCAGGCTCCCGCGGCGCGCGCTCCCCTCCGCTAGAGCGCGCAAGGCGCGGGTGGGCCGGGACGCAGGAGCACGTCGGGCGGCGTAGACAAAGGCGGGTGCGCGCACGTCCTTACGCACGCCTGGGCCGGCGCGGCGGGCAGGGCTGGGCCGGACGGGAGGAACCGTCGCAGAGGACGTGGAAGCCGGAGCCTCGCGGCTGGTGAGTAGCGACGGGCTGATCCCCATGGAGAGGTTCGGGACCGGGATACGGCGCCCTGCGTCTGTCCGTAGCCCTCACGCCTCGCCCCGCCCCGCGACGGGAGGCTCCATCCCGGCCGGGTGGGGCTCCGGGTCCCCCCCGCCCCCCGCCGCCGCGGCGCAGCCTCCGCGCCTCCCTCCGCCCTCGCCTCTCCCCTCCATCGCTTCGTCCTCGGTGGGCCTGCGGCGCACCGGCCTCCCGCCCGGGATCCGCGGTCACGCAGCCCGCCCTCCCCCGGGATGCGGGTCGTGGGCGGTGAGGGCTCCGCGGCACCGGGTCACGCGGAGATGCCTGCATCTGTGATTGCCGCCCCCGGAACGCCCTTCCTCCCGATCCGTGCTCCTCCGCGTGAAGGTGCCTAGTTCCCCTCTCCCCGGACTCCTGCCTTCCCGCCCCCGCCGCCCCCCCCCAGCCTCCCCACCGGGGGCGCGCGCCCCATTCCCCGCTCTCCGTCTCAACGCGGAGCTTTAACTTTGGCAGTCCGCAAAAGTTCGGGAAAATCCGTTCACGACCCACAGACGTTAGGTTTCAGCTCGCCGCTGCCGTCCCTTCTGCCCTGAGCGTGGGTAGCTCGGAGCCTTCAAATCATTGACGGAGTTTGTTTCTGGTTTCTGCTTTTTTTTTTTTTTTTTTTTGCTTTTTTTCCTTTTTAACCTGACTTTGGCTGAACTAAGCAGAAGACGTCTGCTTAGTGTCCTGTCTTGGAGAGTCTGTCCTCAACCCAGGGGAAATAGTACGGGAAATACTAAAGTCAGAAAGCGTATGGACGGGAATCCTGTAATCTTGCCTGCCAGAAGTGTTCTTTAGTTTTCTTTTCGCTTCGTGTTTGGGAGCATTTCAGAGTCACACAGAAGTTATAATAGTGAGGCAGCCACACTCACCTCAAACTTCACCAACTCATGTATGGGACCATCCTGTCCCCTCTTCATGACGATCAATTCCCTCCTTTGGCATGTCTCAGGGGACATTTTTATTTTTGGTTTTTTGTGCTGAGGATCAAATCTAGGGTTTCATGCATGCCAGGCATACACTGTGCCACTGAGCTATACCACCAGCACAACCCTCTTAGAAACTCTTATGTAGCTCTCAATCTTTCTTTGGTCTTATTCTCTATCTGGTATCCTATTTTAAAGATCAGGGTTTTTCTATGTCTATTGAAAATGGTAGTTAGAACTTCTCATTTGTCCCAAATTAATTGATTGATTAGTTGATTATTTCTGTAGTACTTAGCTTTGAACTCAGCTCCTCACATGTGTTAGGCGGGGGCTGTACCACTTAAGCTGCTCTGCCAGCCAGCCCATTTTGGGTTGGTTACTAGTGAGATAGGGTCTCGCTTTATGCCTTGGCCAGCTTGGGCTAAATTTTCCCATTTGTTCTTTCTCTCTGTCTCTGGTATAACATGTACCGCTGCACCCAGCCATTAAGTAAGATGGAGACTTACAAAGTTTTTCTGCCTGGGCCGGCATTTAACTTCAGTCCTCCTGATCACCTGATCACCTGATCACAAGCTTGAGCCATTGCACCTGGCCCAAATTTATTTCACTATTTTGTAATTTGTTAGAAAAGTATACTTATCCATTCCAAATCTTTATGGCCCCCTACACATTTCCTTCCTAAAGGAAAGAACCTAAGGCCAGCATTGTGGCAGAGAGATTTTCAGTGTCACTTCAGTATCTGGTACCTGTGGGTCTGGACAAGTCACTAAGCTTCTCTATACCCTGAATTCAGGTTCGAAAAAAGACAGAGAACAATATGACCTGGAAGTTAATCACTCAGATCAGAATTTTTAACATGATTTTTGGCAGCGTGATCATTAGAGTCCCTTTTTGGTCTTTTTAACAATAGTAGACTGGGTTCCAATAAAAGTACATTATGACTTTATATGATACTAAGATATTTTTGAATCTGAATTTCATCCTGAGGTTCTGGATGGTTCTTCATTGGCCAAAATATTGTGGGACTTGTTTTCATTTGTGCCTCCATTTTGCTCCCCTTCATATGAGGTGACTCTTCTCCAAGGAGTTCTGTGAACAAGCAAAAGTTCGTGTGTGTGTGTGTGTGTGTGTGTGTGTGTGTGTATTTGAGTTTGCATATGTTAAGGTAAATTTACTTTCAGGATGGATGCTTTTGCAAATTTATAACCAGTGCAAACAAAGTTTGTGGACATACCATTAATACTCTCATTAGCTGTAGAGATGCAGATAGTGTTTTGGTGTGGGACTAGATGTCAGCATTCTAGCCTAACCTGTTTAGTACTTCCCACTCAAGAAAATCTCTTGCTTTCTGGAAATGAAGAAGACTGGTGAAGTGTGGACTGCAGGATCTCAGATAACTAAAACTTGGTTCTGGCAGACCTTTTATCTCTTAACTCTGTCATTATGCTCATGGGAAGGACTTGATGGAAAATGCTCCATTCCATGTGTCATTAAGTTACATAATAGTGCCTCAGTAGTATGAGTAATGCTTTACAAAGCATGAGAATGGAATTGGAGAGCTTGTAGGAATGTTCTAAGTGCATGGAGTCTCCCCCTCCCCCCTTTTTTTTTCCTCTTGTGGTGCTAGGGTTGAAATCAGGGCCTTGTGCTTGCTAGGCAGACAATTCTACCACTAAAGCCATATCCCCAGCCCTTTTAGCTTTAGTTATTTTTGAGGTCAGCTCCTGCCTGTTTCCCTCTAGGCCAGCCTGAATCTTGATCATCTCATTCACACCTCACACATAGCTGGGAGCACCAACTGTACCACTGTGTCTATTAATTTCTTACTAATTTCTTCTATGGCTGGCTTCAAACCTTGATCTTGCCTATGTCCTCTCTGAATAATTAGGACGACAGGATTGAGCTGTTGTGCTGGCCCAAAATGAAGACATTGGTGAACTAAACTAAACTAACTTTAAAATTTTTTATTTATTTTAGTTTTTATTATTGGTGTGGGACTTGAACTCAGGGCCTAGGCACTGGCACTGAGGTCTTTTGCTCAAGGCTAATGCTCTTACCACTTTTTGAGCCCCAACTCCATTTCTATTTTTTCTGGTGGTTAATTGGAGATAAGAGTCTCACAGACTTTCCTGTCTTTGAACCATGATCCTCAGATCTCAGCCTCCTAAGTAGCTAGGATTACAAACATGAACCAGCAGCACCCAGCTAACATTTTTATTTTTGATGGTACTAGAATTTGAATTTAGGGCTTCCCACTATTGGGTAAGTACGTTGTTACTTGAGCCAAGTCTCCAGCTTTCCAACTGTTCTTCTTCTTCTTTTTTTTTTTTTGGTCAGTCATGGGGCTTGAACTCTGGGCCTGGGTGCTGTCCCTGAGCTTGTCAGTTCAAAGCTAGCTCTCTACCACTTGAGCCACAGCGCCACTTCTGGTTTTCTGATGGTTTATTGGAGATAAGAGGCTTTTTCTGGCTGGGCTGGTTTTGAACCACACTTCTTAAATCTCAGCCTCCTGAGTAGCTAGGATTACAGGTATGAGCCACCAGCGCCCGGCTTCCAGCTGTTCTTTTTTTAAATTTATTTTTATTTTTTTTTATTGTGAAAATACTGTACAGAGGGGTTACAATTACATGGGCAAGATAATGAGTACATTTCTTATCAAGCATTGTAGCCTCCTCCTTTGTTTCCCCTTCCCATCCCTTCCCATCCTCCCCCCCCACCCCCCACCCCTTCCCGCCCCCCCTCCCCACCAAAGTTGTAAAGTTCGTTTTCGACATAACGACTTGTACATCTCATTGTAGCAACGGGTCCACCTGTATCCCTATTTAAACAATTTGTTTTTCCCCTTCCCCTCCCCAAATTATACTGACATGAAATACAGTGAAAGCAGGGGCTATTCTGTGGGAGAAGGACATACAAAGCAACAAAGAAATAATCTTATAAACGTTTAGAAACAATCGCATGAAAGAAAAAAAAACATTTGAATACATATCTTAGGGTTCATTTCCATAACATCACCTTATCTGACCTTTTCTGCTTGACTCAGACATATACTAGATATTGCAAATAAGGGATTCCAGCTGTTCTTTTTTTTTTTAAAGTATTTTTTTTTTTATTGTAAAGATACTATACAGAGGGTTACAGTTACATGAGTGAGGTAATGAGTACACTTCCTCTTGAACATTGTTACCCCCTCCATTGTTTTCCCCCTACCATCCCCTCCCTCCCTCCCTTCCCCGAGGTTCTTTTTTTTTTTTTATTGTGATTAAGTGATTACATAATTTCCAGAAATGCACAGTATTGTGGAATAATGATGCTCATTTAAAATCACAAGTTCATTCTAACTTTCCTGGAGCAAATTGTCTATCACAGTCTGTAATACATAACGGTGTTCACATGTTATATACCATATATGTGATCAGCAGCATGGGGATATTTAGTAGTGGTTCAACCAGATGAGTGGGAGTTCTTTGTTTCTTAAGTCCTGTTAGTTTTGTCATATCACCTAACATTTTGGATTTAGCATCCACTTATCAGGGAGACCATGTACCGTTTGTCTCTTCGTTCTTGGCTAACCTCGCTCAACATGATTCCTTCTAGCTCCATCCATTTCCCTGCAAATGCCATTATTTTGTCATTTCTAATGGCTGCATAATATTCCATTGTGTATAGATACCACAATTTTTGGATCCATTCATCTGTGGTGGGGCATCTGGGTTGTTTCCATATTCTAGCTATTGCGAACAGTGCTGCAATAAACATGGAGGTGCACGTGTCCTTGTATATTGGTTCCTGTTGTTCAGGGTAGATGCCTAGAAGTGGTATGACTGGGTCGTAAGGGAGGTCAATCTTTAGCTTTCTAAGGACCCTCCAGACTGCTTTCCAAAGTGGTTGTATAAGTGTACATTCCCACCAGCAGTGTAATAGGGTTCCTCTTTCTCCACATCCCCTCCAGCATTTGTCGTTGGCTGATTTGTGGATGTGGGGCATTCTGACTGGGTTAAGGTGGTATCTCAGGGTTGTCTTTAT